TTGAGTGTATGTGTGGTGTCCTATTTTCGATCATGACTCACGCAGTTTGTTGAATGTAAATAAAATTATAAAATCTTTTTTTGTGTTTTAAAAATACATTCTTCAGAGAAAAAACAGTCAAACAATCAATCACTATATGTAAATAAACTATGGCAAATTAGTCCACATTTGAGGATTTCTTACATTTTTCACAGTTCAAAATAAAGATTAAACACCAAAAGCATTAAAATGATGAGGTATTTTACTGTACTTAAAGCATTAATATTAGATTGTTTGGCCTAAATTAGTTTATGAAGCTAGTACAAAAAGTTTTGTTTTACTACCAACCAGTAATGTTCTAAATGTTCTTTGTTATTAGGAAGAAATGAGGAGCAGTTGTTCCAAGTTCTGAACATTTCTGACAGTATTGCCTGTTATGGAAAGGTTCATTGATTATAAATTAACAGCCTGGAATTTGATGAAGAGAGCTAGTTAATTAGTGAGACATACTGCATAATGCTCCTAGACTTTAGACCTCGAGTCTAGGAGTATAAAATATCCACAGCCTCTTTCCCATAATTAATTGTGCAAGGGACCATGTGTGGAAAACGACAGTGAAATTAATATTTGAAGACGGTAAGATTGATTAATTAATCTCAGTTTTCTGTACTATTTTCCCTTTTTTCTATTTCACATAGAGTTTAATAACAAATCAAAGTTTAATATTTTTATTAATACAGGTATATGAAAATGTTCTTAAAAAGTTATAAAATCATTTTTGCGAGTATTCTTATATTGGACATCAGATTTTAGCACTTGTTATTCTGGGTGGATTAGGAAAAAAGGCTAAAAAAACTGCTGTTAATTAGTTATCTAATTTTAACTAATTTTAATTTGATTGTATATTAATAATTTAAAGACTAATGGGTTTGATTAACCTTTCCTAGGGAAATTTACCTGAAAATTCACTTGGTTTCCAATCCAAATGCTCTCTTGCTGAGATGCTAAATTCAATGAATTCTTTGGGGGTACATTATAATGTAATAAAATTAAGTAACATTTATCATTACTGTGTTTTTGATAGTAGAAAAAAATAAATGAAATATTTGTGTTTAAATATTAAAATTAAATATATGTTTGGTTGTGTGTGTTCTATGTTATGGTACTTATTTCTTTGTATCACTGCAGTTAAATACATACAGTATACTGTACCTATCAATATATACAGTACAATCAATATACTGTAAGTCACCTACACATCAGTAAAATAGGAGAAAATCCACTTTTTTCAATCTGTTCAAATAACATCTTAATATTAATTCTTAGCTGCAATTGAGGTGTGCACAACAAAACTAGTCCACAAATGAAATTCTTGTTCTAGGTTAGATGACTACCACAGTTTTTGATTTCTCCAACCTAGTTCAACACAATGAGAACTAAACTGAAGACAATGGAAGATCTACACACATCTATATAATGTAACAAATACCTAACTGCTATAAACTATATTTTCAATAATTGCTTTGGGAAGTGTGGTTCGTAATTTGAATGAAGTAATTTCAAGTTGCAAAGTAAAATAATAAAAAGAGCACCAGGTACCTAAGAAATCCATTTTACTTAGTGCTTGTTAAGTACAGGATTTTCTATTCAGTCAGCTCCTTCAGCTATTTCTCTGTTTGCTTGGTCTCTGGTTGGCTTTGTGTTCCATCTGGCAGGGAGGAACTATCACAACACAGACTGCAGAGCTCGGCCATGGACAAATAAGCACCAGACTGTCCAGGCTTGTCTAATTTGGTTAATATTTTCTACTCAGATGATACCTTCTCTGCACTTTACAGTTTTTAGATAGACAGATCTGCAGCTCGTTTAAAAATTGAAATACATGGAAAAGAACCCACAGAGATAGTGTATTGAATGTACTGTATTTAACAAAACACCGCCAGCATGTTTACTTACATTTTTCAAACATTCAGCTCAGGTAAGGAATATTTAATTTGGTAAGTCTGTTGATTTATAGGAAAAATAAGTAAGTCAGTAAGTTTTTGTTTTTTAAACCCAAGCTTGTTGTCTTCACCATGCATTTCTAGAACAGGGGTACAATATGTAATCCAGTCCGCAATTGTTGATTTCCTGTAGGCTTAAGAGGTAACTTTCAAATAGCATTTGATAAATTCCTGGAAATCACAGATGATTCCACTTCCTATGCAATATCATCCTATTAAATTAATTCAGTAAAGTCAAAGAATAAAAATAAAAAACAAATAGAGGCATTTTAGGACTGGAACTGCTCTCTCCTCTTGCAGAACAGTGGTACAGTACACAGTCCTGGTCCAGAAGGAGCATTGTATATTTTCATTCCAAGTGCCCGTGATGTCCCTGGAGTTAACAGATCTCTTTAAATGAATATCTTGCTTGATTAGGCCTATTCAACTTATTTCTGCAGTTTAAAAGATCCCTGCTGTTGTTGTGTTATACAACATATCTTCAGTTTGCTTGTTAAGTGGTTTCTGCTCTATTTCTTCTTAACCTCTCTTAATTAGTGACCAATTAATGGTGTCCAGATGCAGGTGGGAATGACACTGTATATAATACTCCCACCACCAGTAAGTGACTCTTTTCTACAGAGGTCCAATTACTAACTGTACATTCATTGCATTGAAAGAGGATAGGTGTGAAACTTGGTCAGGGTTGATAGTAGATAATCTTGTGAAAGTTGAAAGAGCTGAGAAATCTTAAAAATTCACATCAAAGCCAGAAGTTTCTCCTTAGAGCCTCTTACAATCACTGTATTATTATAAATAATTCTAAATGAAATATGCACAGAATTCAGATGACATGAAATGCATCTTGATTTGAGTACTAACAATATAATGGATTTTTCTCTAGTTCTCTTTCTGAATGGGTTATGGCCTCCTGTCCTGTAGGGGCAACCTGCCCACGTGCTGGTCCAGTTGGCAGCTGCAATGGTAATAAACCACAGATAAGTTTACCCTGTTGAACAGCTATTTCCATAACACTGCAACACTGTGAACTACAATTTCAATTTAACAAAGCAGCACTTAAAATAAAAGTTCCAGTATTGTTTCCTGTTAAGGCAAATCATTGATGACAAAAGTATATTATTCATTCTGGGGCAGAGTGGGTGTTTGCCACAAGAAATCACGATGTTACTGGGCATAGGTCAACTCCATTTTGTTTGTATCTGCTATTGCTACTCTCAAGTCATAAAGATATTCTGAGAACAAATGTGCTGAAAAGAGAAAATAGATGTAAAGTCAGATCACATTTTTACATACATATTACATTTAAAATGACGTGTGTTGTACTAAATTCTGTTTTAACCTGATGTTTTTTAGCTGTCCAGAATTAGAATGAATGATTTGATTTAATATTTTTAAGTAAAAAATACTGATGCTCCTAGAGGCTCCGTCTGTTTATAAAAAACACTGTCGCTTTCAGGTGCGAAACTTCAAAGCACAAAGCCCTACCACCTTCCAGGAGCGGATAATGTAGAACATGGCTTCCTCTGTGTGGGGTCAACTGTGGATTTGGTCAGTGGTTCTGACTGCTATGAAGTGGATCCTCATTACTCAAAACCATGGGCATCCCAGAGACTACCCAAAGTTCAAGGTGGGTGGTAGATGGAGGTAATATGGAAACCCAATCTGGTGAACTGGAACTAGAAGACTGAAAATGTATTTTAAGGACCAAACTATAGAAATATTAAAATGTAATTTTGAAATATGTAACATTCAAGTTCAATTACAGCTACCATCTTCAAATTATTTTTTATGGATGGTCTCAACATTCATTGGAAGCATTTGTTCTTGGGATCCATAGTAAAGCTGATGGACAAGGGTAATGTACTGTATTATTTAATTGAAAGGCAGCTATTTAATAATCCTGAAAGAGCCATGTTCGGTTACCTTTTTCTAGGCCACAGAAATGTAACATGTCACACACTTTTATTTTCAGAGCCAAGAAAAGAAGAGACAGGGAAAGCGAAGTCTTTGTTCATCTCTGTAATGAAAGTCCCTCTGCTGTTCCTCTTCCTCTATATGTTCGTCTGCTCCCTGGATATTCTGAGCTCGGCTTTCCAGTTGGCAGGGGGTAACTATCACATCACTGTCCTATCAGACTTCTGCCATGGGCAGTTAAAAAGCAGCTGAGCATTGATTCCAGCTGATTGCATGACATTTGTAAAGATGTTTTCAAAAAAGGAAGTCTTTTTTAACATTAACCTCACTGGGGACTAGTGAACTAAATTGAACAACTTGTTCCAAACAACTAGTTGATTCCTCAACAAAACCCTGAGTTTTTTGAAGGTCAGATATTAATTAATTTTGTGCAAGTGTTCATTCTCTGGAGGTTAGCTTTCAAAATAAACCTTCTCCAAACAGGAAGTGTTGGTCTGCAGTTTTTTTCTTGAACTATGCTTGGCCCTGTATTTTCTTTTATCTGTATTTGTTTTGTATTTGTCTTCACATTTTAATATGCATGTCATTCAGTTATGTATTGATTATCGACAAAACTTAATGTATTTGACAAAAACTGTATTGCAACAAACCTGGGGGAATAATCTTTTTGCTTATGAAATTCTAAAGAATAGCACTTTTTCTCTAAATTGTATCAGTCTTCAAAAAGACAGTGAAGAATGAATGCATTCTGTCTTTTCCGGACAGGTAAAGTTGCAGGAGACATCTTCAAGGATAATGTCATTCTCTCTAACCCAGTAGCAGGACTAGTGGTGGGCATTCTTGTAACAGTCCTTGTTCAGAGCTCCAGCACCTCCACATCCATCATCGTCAGCATGGTGTCTTCTGGTTGTAAGTCTTACTGTAGACACCATAGATCTTTGATTCATTTATAGATGTATAGATCTTTTTGCTTTTGATTTGCATAAAATGCCTTTTGATTTTCCTTAATAATCAACATCTATAACAGCAGTTATAGCTCATGCAGCTGCAGTACCTACTAAGATAATGTGTGTAAAGAAGTGAATGAACATCTCATTAGAAACATAACTATATATTCTGTTAATTGCAAAAGGATCATGAGAATGAGTCAGCATTTGCAAAGAAAAGTGCCAAAGCCGGTGATCAGCAGTACAGATTTAATCTTCTTTCATAATCCCTTCCTTTCACACTGAGGCACATTTCAGCTCTTATTGCAAAAATAAAAACTTCAGCCAACTTACTGTATGAAGATTATCATTCCATCTGCATTATAACCATGAGCCATGCAGTTATAAAATGTCTTTATAGCAGTTCAGTCTCATTTGGAAAAAGTACTGTATATAGAAATTATTCAGTAATGAGTTCAGAATCATTCAACGCCAATTGAGAAATCACTCTACCGTATCAAACTCTATGTATTGTGTCTGTGTAAAAATACATATAGTACAAAACAACATGTTTGCAACAAACTGACCAAGTCTGCTTTTTAGTATACAAAAACATGCTATACAGTGCATGTGTCAATTCATGTTAACCTGTTTTTCCATGCAGTGCTTGAAGTGAGGTCTGCCATTCCTATTATTATGGGGTCAAACATAGGAACATCGGTCACCAACACCATTGTTGCACTAATGCAAGCTGGGGAGAGGAATGAATTCAAGAGGTAAGCAGGAAAGCTGAGGCACTATAATAAAGATAAGTTTAACCTGCTATGTTTTTGATACAAAATAACTTTTTATAGGTGTTTGATCTCAAGAAGAACACAGCAAACTAATTATTAATTGTAACTTCATATATACTGTAATTTCCTTTTTTGTTTTTCTTAGTTTATTAAACCTTTACATTTGTTTATGGGTTTTATGACCCTTGGCATATTATATTATAAGTAGGACTTAATTCAAGAATATAGCTTCTCTTACTGTATGTGCAACAAATAATCTCACTTGCGATAATTTATTAATTATTTTATGTAATGTAAACAAGGCCTATATGAGAAAATCATTAGAGGAAATAAGCAGTTCAAACTAAGGAAAGTTTAAATAGGAAAGAGCTGTGAGGGTTAAATTGATTCAACATTGTGAACTTTGATTCTTAAACTCAGACACCACTAAGATGTGTTCTATATTGTGGTAATTTTACAGGGCATTTGCTGGTGCCACAGTTCATGACTGTTTTAACTGGCTGTCAGTTCTGGTGTTGCTACCCCTGGAGGTGATCAGTGGCCTCTTGAATCGCCTCAGTAAAATGGTGGTGAAGAGTTTTCAAATCCAAAGTGGAAAAGACGCTCCAGATATCCTGAAAATCATTACTGAACCATTCACAAAACTTATCATTCAGGTAACTTTCTCCACATTCAAAGTGCTTTCCAGGATCTTTAAACAATGGTGACATAAGTGAGGCTTTCTTTGAATCTGCCTGTGTCTCACTACCTTAATTAAATAATTCATATAGTCATTATTTTCACTGCTGGTTCTGCCTATCTTAATTTTAAGTAGACATGCCTTACTTACTTACATGGTCCAGACCATGAGAAATTCTGTTTTATTTTTCCTCCAATTCCAGCTGGATAAATCTGTAATCACAGGCATTGCCACAGGAGATGAGAGTCTCAGAAATAAGAGTCTGGTGAAGGTGTGGTGCAAGACCAGCCATGCTGTGGTAAGAGAGATTGAAACGTTTGATTTAATTTGTCTGACACAAGCACATAAAAATGCTTTGTTTGATATGAAACATTGTCTTTTCCTCAGTCCTTTGTGAATGTGTCTGTGAACAGTCCAGTCAACTGCACTTCCACCCATCATTGTGGGAATAAAGGAAATACAACCTGGACCACTGTGAACCAGACAATGGAAGTCAATATCCATAAATGTAGGTCTATTTTGTACATGAAATTTCTATTGCTAACTTAATTTTCATTTATTAAGTTATTAAGATAGCATCTGCCAGGTTTCCTAGTATGGACTGCTCATGTACAAAATAATTTGCCTTTTTTATATCTTAAAGTTGTAGTAAACTTCTGAGTTCCTTTCTAGATTTTCAATGACATTTTTCTTTTACATACTCATAAGTATTGTATGACACGTTTGAATAAACACAATTCCTTCTTGTGTGGATGACTAGAACTGCCATGCTCTTCTTTCAACACAAACTCTGGATAAAGCCCTTAATAAGTAATGGACTTCAGGCACCCAAGAAACAGAGTAGGAACAGTATATTAAATTTCTATTAAAATCTTTAGTTTCATTAGTTAAATGAACACATTTTTGTTGTCTTTTCCAGGTAATCACCTGTTTGTCAACTCTTCCATTCCAGACCTGGTTATTGGGCTTATCCTCTTGGCAGCTTCCTTAGTAGTTCTGTGTACATGTCTGGTGCTTCTTGTGAAACTGCTTAACTCAGTCCTGAAGGGACACGTTGCAAAAGTTATTCAGAAAATCATCAACACAGGTAAAGATCTGTTTGAAATCTGCCCATTTATTGGGTAGAGGAACAGTTATGTTATTGGATGCCAGGTATTCTGTGCCTATTTTCTGTGGTTTTACAGTATATAACTAAGTTCTTAAGTGTCTGAAGTATATATTTTTTAAAGCAAAGTTCTCAGGTCCTTAACTGAGAAAATTATTAATTCAAATTAAATGAATTACTTAGGTTTCTTTCTGCAGCTGGGCCCTTTAAAAGATAATTCAGCTTCTTTAGAAATTCAGGATTTGGGTTGCAGATCTGTTTTGTAAGAAACTAAGGTGTGCTCCTTAATATTTCCTCTCCACAGATTTTCCGTATCCATTTGGGTGGCTGACAGGATACCTAGCAATGGTTGTAGGGGCAGGGATGACTTTTGTAGTTCAGAGCAGTTCTGTGTTCACTTCTGCAATCACTCCCCTGATTGGTGAGTCTCCATCTGTGTATGCTGAAAGTTTTAATCATAATTACTTGGATTTTTATTTTGTGAAACAATGAAAATATTTTGGCCAAACTCTGCTTTTAGGAGTGCAAATGTTGTTCATGCCTACTAAATATATAAGAAGCACAACTGTTAACACTGAATTAGCTATTAATGGATTATTTCTACATGGCACATACTGTACAGTATCTTCAGTGGAGCTTCAGTTATTAACCATACATCATACAGTAACTAGTAAGAGTCACTTACCAAGCTATTGACACTGTATTAATATTCTCTTCATGTACTACAGATTCTGAGGTAATTATACATGAATTTGCAGCTCTTATACCAAAGTGTTGTTAATCGTTTTATCAAGGGGGTGGAGAGTGAGGAGGCATGGAATGTTTTTAATGTAAATTTAAACTCAGAGTGAGTGGGTTCATACAATTAATCAGTAATCTGTAATGATTCAGAGTCCTTTTCCCTCCATGTTCCAATTCTCATCGGTCCAAATTAGTAATGCCCTGGTGATTTTGTGTTATGAATAATTAACTGTAAAGCCTTAAGACTCATCAATGTTCTTAATAATCATTGTTTCTTGGAAGCCATCATTAACCTTTGGGGAAAGAGTCACCTGTGCAGTATTATGGTACGATTGTCTGTTTTTTTAATAGGTGACAAAAAACAGATTATTGTCAATCTGTTTTATTGATTACTGTCAGAGTACAATCTGTATTTTTCCTTTCTATATGGATCTGTATTATTCTCTTTAATACTTTAACTGAAACAATTTTTTTGTGTATATAATTACATGTTGTTGTCTAGGGTTTCTGCAGATATGTATAGTTACATACTAAAATCATCATTCTAAAACATTTTTCTCTTATAGAAAGGTTCCTTAATATGTTACAAAATGTGATTAAATTTAACGCGACATTGTGAATGTCTTGCAAGTACCACCACACAATACGTACCTAAGAACTTTGTGAGACTGAGTTCCATAGCATTTGAGAGAAGGTTTCATTGCAGTGATACATGACATTATATTGTACTAAATGCTGCTGTGTAAATGGAATTTTTCTACAGACATTCTGTCCTTTGTGCTTTAAGGCATTGGTGTTATCAGCATAGAACGTGCCTATCCCCTCACACTTGGCTCCAATATTGGCACCACAACCACTGCAATTCTCGCAGCTCTGGCCAGCCCTGGGGACAAACTAGCAGCTGCATTTCAGGTAAAGAGGCCCATTCTTTATAATATTTTCCTTCAAACTGCTGAAAGAGAATATAATGGTCTAATTTGTTAAAACAGCCATCCCTTATCATTATAATTTAAATTGGGCCAGACAATCTCTGCACAAGTTACTGAATAGCTCACAATTTGAAATTTATATCAATAGATATTTTACTGTATGTTACAAATCAAGATGAATTGATTGTTGATATTGATATAAATACTGTAAATATTAATTTGCTTGTAGTTGTGTAAGCATACACAAATCTTAATTCACAGCCTCCAAGTCTGCACAGCAAGCAATGTATTACATATCTCAAAGTGTTTCACAACTAGTCATACTGTACGGTGATTACGTCTGTCTCAGCCTTACTTGACAGAGTTGTTTTTGGTTTGCTTCAGATTGCCCTCTGCCATTTCTTCTTCAACATCTTTGGTATAATCCTGTGGTACCCCATCCCAATCACACGGTTACCTATCCGTATGGCCAAGACGCTGGGGGAGCGCACTGCCAAGTACCGCTGGTTTGCTGTGCTCTATCTCATCATCTGCTTCCTCCTCTTGCCTTCCCTTGTCTTTGGGCTCTCCATGGCTGGTTGGCAGATCATGGTGGGCGTGGGTGCGCCTTTTGTGGGAATCATGCTGTTCATCTTCATCATCAATTTCCTTCAGTCCAGGAGCCCCCATCACTTGCCAAAGAAGCTCCAGAGCTGGGACTTTCTCCCAGGATGGATGCATTCATTGAAACCCATGGATGCTTTCATCACCAATGCCACCCTGTGCTGCACTGTCCACTGCAGCACCAAGAACAGTGATGTTCAGGGTCAGCCTGTTTTCTCTGACAGCTTTGCAGAGAAAAAAGCCAAAATGGCCTATGAAAATCCAGCTATTACCTACATAGATGAGACCCCACTGGACACCCCTATTGTCAAACTTCGTGGTCTGGAAAGGTGCAGTAGTACCCCACTGTAGTACATAAGAATATGTTGTTGAAAAAGAACAGAAATACATGATAAAAGAATATTTGTATTTTAGATGCCTCTACAGGGAGCATGGATAACTGCAGATCAGCAGCCTTTATAGCCAAGCAATTCTTCTTCAAAATAGCTGTATGGTTGATGAAATTTGAGAAAGATTCTATATTATATTTTTATAAAAGAAAAGTACATGTAAAATGAAAACACAGTATTTTATATAAGCATGGTGTCAGTGCACAAATAATATCTATAGAGCTTACAAAAACACCTCAAAAGTTAATGGAAACTTGTGGTTGTGGTTCAATATGCATAAATTCCTCTTTCATGTACAGTAGATGCTGCAGAACAGTACTGGCCATGAGCAATTGCAAAGATTTCTGATTAAATGGTCCAGGCAATGCTCTTTTAGCTTTCAGAGCATCCACTGTTTTGCACGTTATACATGCTCTTAGCTGCTTGTCAGCTTCTGTAAAAATTTGCACTTTGCACATTAAGATGTATTGTAACATTTAAAACATTGAAGTGTTGGCACTTTTAGGTGTTAAATTCCAGCATCTGACAACTGTAACAATTCAATGACACAGATACGTGTTAAGACTTTTTCTGCTTTCGCACCTTCTATTCTTTAATCTAAGAGCAAAACATACCCTCAAATATATTCAATTAACTTTGCCATGGCATTGTGGAAGAAAATACCATGTGCAATATGTCTAACTGTACAGTTTTTTTCTGGGGAGTATAAGAAAAATTAACAACATTTTGCTTGCACTCTTTCTCTCAATAATATCTTAGAATATAATGGAAAATTAACAATGAACCACTAATAAACATGTCTGCACACTCATCCAGTACTATACTGTTTATCTTTTGTTTAACGCAGGTAAAATAATAAGAGAAACCTCAGAGCAGAGATGTCGGCCTTAAGCAATCATGTAATTAACTTTCAGTTTAGTGCTAATATAGCTTTAGTTAATATGTTTTATGGATTATCCAGAGGCTTTGAATAGCATTCTAATTATAATGCTTAACCTGTTTAGAGGAATAAGAACAAAATACTACACTGAAGATACTTCAAAATAGATCATACCCATTTTATAAACAATAACTCAATACTTTGTGTGATGTGCAGAATTCTATAGAAGAAAAAAGGAATGTTAGATATTATTGAAAAACATTCTTGCCTGACAGACTTTCATAAAGAACAATAAATAAAAATAAGATCTTTATGTTGGATTGTGTATTTAGTTCTTTCTTGGCTGTAAGAAATACAGATGTCATGGATGGTGACCCCTTCATGCTGGATAATTGTAGCTTTTAAAAATTTTCTTTGTAGCTGACTATGTCGCCTAGCAATTTTAAAGGAATTAGTATCCATTTTCCTCACAAGAGATTCTTTTTATCTCCAAAAATCACCAGTGCACCCGCAGACCAGACAAGATACTCATCCTACATAATTGTCCTTTTTATTACCTATCAGTTAAAATATCTATCATGGCCTACCCAACACAAAACACATCCATATAGAATGGATATAAAACAGTATATCCAAGAGACACACATTCCAGACCAGCACAATAACCTTATGGACTTCAGTTACTAAAATCTAATGTCCCAAAGAGGCAGTCCATCAGTGAGTTCTCTAAAAACCCAGACCTGGCATACCTCCTTTCAGAGCAGAAAAGAAATTCTATGTTGTCCTCGTTATCCTCTCAAGTCCTGGCTGTCCCTAACAACATGGTCGTTGATGCTCCTTGCCTACCATGATTTCTCCAATGTGGGGAAGGAGGGAAGAAAAATGATGCCAGAGCCTTCCTCACCTGCTCTCTATGGAATCCCCGGTGTCCAAGTCCTCTCCTGGGTCCAACACTGCATTCTGTGTCCCACTCATTTCTGAACCCTTCATCTACTGAACCCTTTTGCCTGGGACTTGGGAAGCTCCCTTAACCAGGGCTCAGGACGTCTTTGGGGGAGTGAAAGTGTCCCTTTGTTGTCTTGGATGTGGGCAGTGCTAACTGCTTAGGGCTCATTGATGAAATGGCGGTATGCAGCTGTTGTAACAATGCATTGTTTATTCTACCCTGTTGTAGAGTCCCCCCTCTCAATGTGGGACACAGTTGGGTATATTTCACAGTCCCGCAGGTCACAGCTGAACTATGTGGTAATTAACAATTGCCTGAGCAAGGATGACCTTTGATGGGAAGAAGCTCACAAGACAGGTAGAGAAACACATCAACAGTTAGTGAGACACCGGCCATTCCATGCAAACTTAATGTCAATATAGTCCCTCGTGCCTGTCTCCTCACACCTATTTTTTCACTCTGTGACACAGAACTACACCAGTTTACTACAAAATTAAATACTGGATATTTTATCTTTTTGGTATCATTATTATCACAAATCATATCACAAAACTCCATGCAGTACATATGTGAGTAGTTACTTCAGTTGAACCCTGGGATATTGTACATGCTCTTTTTAACATTTTTTTACCAGTTTCTGCTCTTTTTTTGGCTTTGATCCTTTTGTGGAGTCTGAAATCACTTCTATATTTGCAAAACTGACTCAGTCAGGGTAATATTGTGCACTATTTTAGGCTGTTGGCTCACGAATATAGTTTCTCAAACAAATGTCTAAAGCTGGTGCATTTTAGTCCACTCTTAATCAGCAGCACCCCCCATGGCATCTGTTTATAAATAATTAACTGCAGAAACGCATACTTTTCCCTGCCTTCTTTCTAATAATCTCCCCTGAGGTTCTATTATTAACCCACAGGCTTAGAGTTTGCACTGCACAATTACAGCAGTTGTACAGTCATCTATGTTAATGGCAGAACATTAAAATAGCAAATGGGTACGTAGTTTAGCATTTGAATCACAAGGGACCATCGGATCAGATCTTATCTGTGTTTTTGTGGAATTAAGCAAACAGAGAACTCAAGATTCCCTCCATGAAATGGGAAGTCTGTTCATTGTAGAATCTATGCACAGAAAAATCTGTTCCCTATTCACAGAGCTGGATGTACTGGAGTAACTGGGGTAACCTACTGTAACTCACTGAAAGTAAAACAGCTGTATCTGTAGCAGGGACCTGAACCTTGTATTATGGGTATGTTTTTTATTAAGGCGAATTTTAAGAGCCTCTCAGATATTGCATATAGGCTGTATTAGTTTCTTTTAAACTATGAAGAGTTTAGCCTCCACTTGACTTTTTAATGGGTTTTTGAGAATCTAGAGACTTTCTCATTTTTCTACACTACCTCCATCAAATAGCCCCCTCAAAAATAGAAATTAAATATTCATATTTTTAGATTTGGTTTTCAATCACTTTTACCATTAGGAAATCTACTGTCTGTCCGAGAAACCAGCTCAACTTGATTCACTGCTGTCTTACCAAGGATTGTTTAACGCAGACGTGATAGTGATAAAGATCTGCAAGGTCATTAGAACTAGAATTTTATCACATTTTAAAAGTGTGTAAAAGTTTGTCAAATTACAGAATTTGTGCATTTTCTGCCTGTTCAATAAATTCAACAAAACATTTCTAATTATCACATAATGTAAGTGTTGCTGATGTTTTCAGAGATTGTCATACAGCACTACATCAACACTGCACAATACTGGAATGCAACAGGACAGGTGACACAGATCCTGGCAACAAGCCATCAATGACAAAAAGTGAGACCACCATCTTTGAATACTAAAATAAACATAAATTTGAACATCTTTTGTTTTTCAAAACCATTACATTATGATGGAGGCAATTGTGTTGTAGAATACTCCTGTGCTTGTAAACATACTTTCCAGTTGGTTGTTATTTTGTCTCCAAGATAAACATGGAGACCAAGATAGCTGCCTGTTATCAAGCAAATCAGAGTCTTATGAAGTCCAATATCTGTGGCAACTAGATTTTAAAGGGGAACTGCAATCCCAATTTCTCAGACTGGTTAATAAATCTTGGTAACAAAATAAATAGAAACATTTTATACATTTTGAATTAAGCACAAAATCATGAACTTTGGGAAAGTACTGTAAGTCGCCATACTGTCGCAAACTCGCATTTGAGTTTCCACGAATTGCAACATGAGGTGGCCCTTCCTACTCGTTAGTCACTGTTATAGCTAATGTGATGTATGAGCAAATAAGTACAGGTTGTTCAGTGGACATTTCACCGCAGGAATGTTCCAACATGATCTGCATGCCAGTGTTTACCACTAGTATTTTATGGATAAAACCGTCTTCTGACCGAAAGCGATATTTCTGCTGGATTAAAAGAGGTGTAATCACAAGCGTGCTTGTTTACAATGTAATAGTGCTGCTTCACATCACCGGACGTTTTGTTGCCTCATTCTGAATTGCAGAACACAGAGCTGAGCATCTTTGGAAATTTTACCTATTTTCTGATGTAAATTGGAAGTTTTGCAAGTCACTGTGTACATTTTACTTTATTGTGCTTTATTTGAAAAGCACTCATCGATGCTGATTCTTGAACCCAAAGTATAAAACTAGTACTGCATTTTCTCTTTAACAGTTTAGAGATCCACATGACATGATTTGTGATCTGTAATCTGTGCACTGAGGACAGGCGATCAAATAGTGAATGTGAAACTGTGAAGTTTCTTATTATTTAGAAGTAGAATGGTCTAACTGTCTTTTACCAAGGAAGAGATTTAATCTTTATGTTTTGTTTTGTACTATAAAAGTCTCGTAGAGAAGATAACTCTCATGACACAGGAATACAGAAAATCTTTAGCTTTATTCGCTTGCGTTGTCATAGTGGCAGTTCAACTGGCTAAAAACTTCACAAACTTTGCTTGAAGAGATACCCAATAAACTAACACAAAACCTAAAAGCCTTAAAAAGCATTATAGCTACCATAAAACACAAATACTCTGTAGCTTATATACATTACTTGTGTACCAACATTTCATCTTAAGCTGTTTTTCTTAAGGTGGGAAGGAGGTCCATATTTCATAATCTTCCTGCTTCTCTGACCTGACCTCTGACCTTTTCAGGCCAATGTTTTGACACCCAGGAATGTTTGTTTCAGTTATGTGTCTGCGTCTCACAGTCCTCCTTCATTCTCTATCTTCAGTTATAAATCTGTACTATATAGTTGAATTTAACTCATTACATCTTGTGCCGTCTGAAATGTCAATATACTGTACTCAACAAAGTTTCAGCTGGTATACTGTATACTGATGACCAGTACCTTCCAGTACAAAATGTTTAAAAACCCAGAAGAGACCAACTTATTACAGCTTTACTTTTAATTAACTGTAGAAGTTAACTCACAATGGGTTTAAATGCTATCAATAAATGTAACTTTTGACTGTTAGAAACCAGTTGCTCATTTGCACTAGAATTACTGGAATTATGGCTGTGAAAGGATACTGTATGTGGTTATTTGTTTTCCTGTAATATTATCTGAGCTGGCTTTTGTGAAATAATCTTTATAAAGGTTACTTTTTAGACAGGACGTTCTTGCTTTTATCCTCCTCTTTTCTGTACTCAATTATCTTAATTGTAAAGATTTCATATAACTAAAGGGTCATGGACTCAAGCAAGTGAATAAACCTAATTAAATTTGAATTAAATTGAGTAATGCACAAAGCAACTGAGCAATTAATGCATGTTAACGCAGAAGTAAAAATGTTTTAATTTTCTTTTGATATAGTTTGCAATGAATCAATATCACCTTTGTGAATGCGAAAATACTGACCTCAGGCACAAATTGCAGCTAATCTTACACCAGGACTGTTGGCATCTCAGTAATTCAGTGTACAGTGAAACTAAGGTAAAAGCTAAAATGCTTTAATTTAGTTTTAACTAGGCAATTTCATAAAAATGTGTCTGTTTTATGATGTGCATATACTCTCTTTTTCTGAGATTTATTTAGTCTCTATAAAATAAGAAATAGAAGGTACACTAATCTGCCTTTTTTGCTTCTGATGTGCATTACTTTACCTATTTGATAATTTAAATCTTTTATGTGTGTGTGTGGTATATTACTGGCTTTACAGAAGTACATTTGAATTAAAATATCTCTTTTTATTTTGTATAAATTAGTAACCTATTTCACAATAAGCACTTTTTACATTATTTCTATTTCTCACTTACATATGCTTATTACAGTGTGCATGCACTAACTGGAAGTTTTCCTTTCATGTCTTTTCACAATTGCAAAGTTGCAGGTTCCGCCTATAGCAAATGTGTACTAGTTTTGCAACTTGCTCCTTTGCCAATTATTGCAAAATGCTAGATACTACTGAAACACAACTGCATTTTCTAATGACTTAAAAGCCAAACTTGAGTGGTGTATTAACATTTGTTCTGCTCAAATAATTACTCTGGTGTCTTGTAATTAATGAGCCAAGGACTGCATAGTGTACAGTGAACAAGTCAATATGGGAGAAACATGGGAAAGAGGCTCTTACTATACTAGAAAAATTTATATGAAAATACATTTCCTCTACCATTGTGTTATTTGAAAACTACATTGATAAATATAGGGATTTCTTTAATTAATAGAAGACCTTTCCAAGATAGCTATTGTGAAATTGAAAATTCTGGTTAAACCAGAGCATGTGGTATTCTTATTTTTATACATGGTTTCTTTTAAATCCAGAATATTTTGTGGAAAATGAAATTCTACAACTATTATGAAACACAACAGTTAACGAAATTTGGAAACTACATAATTCTGCAACATTTTTAAAAACAGGTGTAGCATAAGAAAGGACTTTAACCTTACTTATGCTACATTGGCTGTTAAGTCTTACAGAATTCTTCAATTCTTTAAACTACAGAAAATAAGGTTTGGAATTCTCTATTTCTTTCCAAATGCTATATGTTATAGGCACAAAAAGATGATTTTACAGAAAATGTCTACATAATTATTTCATCTTGAGCTCATTAAGGTGATTTAAGAGGTGTTTTTAATCAATCTTTGTATTCAATTTTTTAAGTCACTTAAATACAATGCATCTCTCTCCGGGCCTAATTAAGGGTGCTTTAGACTTAATGAGTCTATAAGATTTAGAAGAAACAGGAAATCAATAGAATGCTCTTGTGTAAGATATAAAGTCAAAGGGTCATGTGGATAGGTTGCTTATAAAACATCCCACACATACAGTAAGATTGGAAGAATGTTGACTTTCTTGTAGCAAGTAATGACAGAAAATTCAGCAGTTGGAGTTATTTTTATATTCTGATATGTTGACCATACAGTAGAATGCACTACTAAAAAGAGATAAAGGTTCTGTTAACTAAAGTTTCATAACAGTGTGAAATGACCACTGTGGACTGTTGATGTGATAGCAATCTAGACTGTGGCCAAGATGGTGATTTCTAAGAAGGCAACATTGCAGTCAATTTGCAGGGAGACTCTGATTCACACTTCAGCCCATGGCGTCTCCTCCATTTTGCGCTCCAGATCTAACCATCAGAAGAACTGCTGGATCATCTTTGTGGTGGTAGTGGTGGGTTGCATGTTGTGGCAATGCAGTGAACTCATAAATACTTTCTTCCACTATCCTTCCCAGGAGAAAGTCACTCTGGTCAATAGCGCCAGACTAAAGTTCCCAGCTGTGACGTTCTGTAACCTAAACCAAGTTCGCAAGTCCCTCATGCTGTCCAAGTTTAGCTTCCTGAAAGGTGGGCTATACTTTCTGAATACGGACTATGCTAATTCATCACAAAACCAGAAAGCCTACATCGAGGACAGCAATCAGCTGGGTTTTCTATTGTCCAAATTGAACCCGGACCAGCAGGCTGAAGCAGGACATCAGCTGGAAGACATGTTGATCTCCTGCCACTTCCATGGTGAGAAGTGTGACAAGAGGTAAGATTCTCTCGAGCTGTTTCTCAACAGGGCTTTTTAATACAGGTTTTCACGTGTCCTCAGTACCTGTTGCTTTTCTTTCCGAAAGAATCAAACTAATACACGATTTCAAGCTTTTCACCTAAGTTTTTCTTAACTACATACAGTAAAAAATGTAATAGTTAACAGGAATCTTGAACTGAAAATAATTTTTCAAATAAATAATGTTTGTCATTCAGATACGGGTTTGATTATGTAGCTGAGAGCTCTGCAGGAACAGAACCCTACAGGTGCTGGTGTTACAGAACCAAGTCCAGAAAGCCCTGATTTACAATAGGGAGAACACAATCAATCCTTTGCTTAATGATTATGGAATGCCTTCCTAACAATCTCACCTATGAGATACACGAGATTTATGTTTACATTATAACGTAGATAATATTCATATCATATCCCTACTTTATTCATCAATAGTTCCTGTTTCTAACAGTGGATTTACATTTTCATCTTACAAAAATATAACATTAAGAAGATGGTATCTTTTGTACTAAAACTGAAAAAATGGAAATGCCATTTTAGTGTATATTATGCCTATACTACTAAAGTTATGGAAATTAAAGTTCTGCTCTGTGGTATGTTTAAATGGTCTCATGAAAGTTAATTTAACATTTCTAATATTTTCTATGCTGTAATAAATAACAAAAGCTATTATTTCCAGTACTCATTTGCTGTGTTTAAATGCCTCTTAATATACTGTATGTAATACCATACATAGGAATTCACAAGCTATTTAATACAGTGATTTAATACTTTTCACAATTCTACTGAAGTTTTCACTTCATTCATTACAATGTAGATTATAAGTAAAATAAAAATCGGACTTTAATTTCTTTTTAATTAAGAAATGCATTGAACTCATAAAAAATTATTATTAAGGGTACGGATATGTAGTTTTAGAGATGCAGCTCAGTGAGAGTAGAACATAACACTAAATACACATATTTTAAAAAGGGAAACAAATAGAACTAGACAAAGGAGAACATAGGGAGTTATTTTTGTCTTATGAGAGTTTTCAATATAAAAAATCACGGTGAAGAAAAACAGGTGTAAAGTAAACCCCTGATATAAAAGCTCAAGTTGTTGATGCTTTCTTAATTTGCCAGAGCTGCTCTTCGATTGTGATACGTTTACACTTTTATGTGATTTTATTTGGTGTTGGTGTGTAATGTGTAAGATATAATATTTGGTTAAATCCATTAAAACTGAATCTTTTCTGCTACAATATGCGATTGAAACGATGATGATAAACCATTTCTCACTCCTAATTTATTAATCATATTAAAGACTATCATATTAAACATATTAATACTTATTAACCTTATTAGTTAGGAAACTTTAATTAGCGCTTTTTAACACAGTGAAGTTCAGACATCTTTGTCTGATGTGCAACTTGCCATTGTATGGTTTTCTTGGTGTTCCTATAAACTTATTTGAGTTTCTGATGTTTTAGAGCTATGTAATTTTTGTGATATTAATATATATTTAAAATCCTGGATGGTTTTATAGTTTTTTCAACGCCTTCTTCAACCACAAGTTTGGAAACTGTTACACATTCAATAGCCTAACAAAAATGGAAAATCGTGGAAGACTGATGAGAAGGGATGTTCTCAATGCTACAAAAGCTGGATTTAGTTATGGTAAGTTCACAGATGGGTCTAGTGCCTTAAAATATTTAATTATCTAGGAGAAGAATGCTGGCTAGATATGTTTATTTATTTAAACAAAAAAAATGTGCTAACTGTAGCATAGCTTTTGTATTGTCTGCATACATATTGTACACTCACAACCAATTTAGCATTGAAATCATGTATATATTTGTCGGGGGTAATTCCATTTGAAGAATTCTTTTCCAGATATAGCAAAACACACCTGATTTTTTTAAAGCTGAATAAAATAATAAGTTCTGATCATTTTACAACTCCTCTTGTTGACACATCTAGACTCATCTTACTACACGGTGGCAAAAAATAGGAACTTTAAGGCAAGTAAGGAAAGAAAGACACAGAAACAAGACACAGCTATAAGGTACAAACCAAGTGCAGTTTATTTACTGAGTTGGAATAGAAAACCAAACACCAAGACAACAAAACATAAGCCTAAGCCTCTTTTATGAGCTATTAACTAACTTCATCCTTAAGTATTGTGCCAGGCAGCTAAGCTGCTTATAGGCTTTAACTACCACTCAGTCTCTCTCAGATTCTCTTCACGAAACTAAGTCTCTCCCTGACACTCTTTATAAATACTTCCAAAGCCTTACAGTTTCACAGATCTTTTCACAGTCAGTCCTTGATGTTCGTCTCTTGCTCCCTCTGGTACAGCTTGCATAACAGAGTTTCTGTCCTCTGTCCTCAGATGGCTGATGGTGACTGACCATTTGAAGCCTCAGCTTCCTGCTTTTAAAATTGTCACCTGACCAATTGTCTGGTCAGGTGACTGAAGGCAACAGCTCATTCCCCAGGGCATTCTGGGGGACATGGTCCAGACAAGAATTTCTATTTTGTCTGGAGTCACTGCCCTCTCACATGCTCTTCTGCTAACCTTCCATAAGGAATTTGCATTGCGTGTTTGCAGTTTATTTAGGGGTTTACTACACTTACATGGATAATATCATCCTTTGGGTAATAAAACCCCATTTTTTACACTGGTGACAGTTATTTTAATAAATTTTACTTTGATTTGATACACCTTAAAAAAGATTGGAATTAGTCTTCAATGACAGTACAAAATCTACAGTACAAAATCATGTTGTTTTGCTAGTTTTCTTTCTGGATGTCTTCACGCTTTTGGGTCCCACAGGTCTAACCATGGAGTTGTCTATCGAACAAGACGAATACATTGAGCAGTTCAGCCAAGCTGCAGGCATTCGTCTCATCATCCATGACCAAAAAGACATGCCATTCCCTGAAGATGATGGAGTTAACATTCCTCCTGGGCAGGAGTCAGATATTGCCATCGTCAAGGTGTGGCTTCTGGATTCCTGTTCTGTTGAGTTTCCTTTGTAAAAAATAACACAGTATAATGCTTAACTTGATACATTTTATTCTGCTTTCTCAGGCATTTGATGATTTAGAGGCCAGGTAAACTTGACACATATTGTATTCTGCAAATTGGGAAAATGTATAGTAATGTAAGAATGTGAAACTGAGGATTTCACATTTAAAAATTTTATAGGGATTTTTGTAAGACCGGGTTAGACAGCTCCAGTTCTTGAGGACCATACTGTATTTGTTCCTGGATTTATTTTTTAACTCAGGTCTCAATTGCTTGATAGAACAAATTAAATTAAATGTGTTTGTAAGATTAGATAAGATACTCAGTCTACTGTTGAAGCCAATACCCTATTTTTTATTAAGGAACCATCTGAATGAGATCTTTGGATCAATTAGCTACTAACTACTAAACAGGCTAGACAGGGTGGATGGCCTTGTCTCATTTGCAGCCATTCTAAAATTAAGACAATAAAATAGCTTTATAGTAAATATACTGTTCTGTACATCCTAATTACTTGCTGAGAAAGATGCTACGAAAAAAGGATTGGTAGTGTTGGAGAAAAGGCTTTACATTCTATCTCAGCCGATTCTTGAGGGAGCAGGGAGCTTTGCAAGGCACACCTAAAGGTTCATGCAGGTCATGTGCTTCAAAAATAACTTCACAACATGATACCTAGAGAGGCCTGGAGTGGATAATGGGCTCCTAAGGGTGGGGTCCCAATATGTGGGTCAGTATTACAGCCCCGTCCTGACTGGCAAAGCCTGAAGGCCTATTTTGATCTCGACAGTACATACAGAGCACACTATAAACATATAAAGGTTTATGACACTACTAGCACAGATCCTAAAAAAAAAAAGGGAAAACATCTGCCTCTGCTGCATGACCCTGGAACACTGTTATTATTTTCCTTTGATGTCTTGATGAAATGCAGTCCAAAGAGAAAGAAGAAAAACTATTACACAAGGTCAGTTACAAATCATAGACAATGAACAATGAACAAAGAAGGCATTCTTGAAGACACAAGTGGTCAAGCTCAGTGGAGTTGCAGTAGGAGGAAACAGTACATGATGATTTTTATGAAAACTCTACTATAGAAATTAAATTTGATATGAAGGCATGTTCACATGTTCACAAGGCTAGGGTGTTAATGCTATGTTCTTGGTCATCAGTATCTTACCATGCCAAACACTCAACTGGCCTTTCTGAGCTGTTATGGGTGTTTGGAATATGCAGTTTTTCAGCAACACAGAAAACCTTTAATTCTGACCTGGAAAGCTTACCAACAGTATCAAGTCAAAAACAGCAATGAGGAAGAGGAACATACCTCCACACTCATAGGAACCAATTACTTTTAAGTCAGCCTCAGGCTTCCCCACTGTACAAGGACTGTGAAGCGCTTGATAACTATATCAATAGATCATGAAGTGCAAAAATTGTTGCAATTACAATGAATTCGGATTGTTCCTCATGAGACGTCTCTTGTTTTTTCATTCCAAACAGGTTCATGTGCATCGACTCAGGGCTCCTTACAGTAGCACGTGTACTACTGGAGATGGCATTCATAACTATTACAGAGATGTGTATAAAGTTGGATACAGCAGGGAGGTGAGTTATGTATCCAAACAGGGACATCCTATTTTTTAGAATTACTTCTGTGTTTTCATTTGCATTTATTTACCTCTTCTTTTCCAAACTTTCTTTGTTTGGGATTCTCTGATTATCATCTCACTTGTCCAATCATATGAATTAAAGTGAGATAATAACAGTACTTGCTAAAAAACACAAGGGCGGGATAATTATAGACTAGAAAAGCATTGAAATGAACATGGGGATTATGAAACAGATGTGATTACAATAAATAATAGTTCTGAGATTTAGCATTCATTGTGTTACCTTGTAATTCTTCTGGAAAGGAACAGAAATATTCTGTACCATTGAGGGTTGTATACCTTATAAATTATGTATAGCATTATTTGCCCTTTTACAAAATTGTATTTAAGCCTAACCAGCTTTGAAGAATAATTTCTATTTACACAGGCATGTAAGAAGACATGTGGACAAATGTACATCATTAAGAACTGTGGCTGTGGAATGTGGGAGTTCCCAGTGCCAAAGGATGTGAAAGTCCCTTTCTGCAACATTACCAACAAAAATATCAGTAAGTGCAGGCAATGGAGAGCATCTGTTTGAATGGAACAAGTGACAAAGTCACTTGTACCACATAAATACATATTCAATTGATTCCTGAGTCCCATATTGTTGTCACATGGTTTATTGTCATCAGATGACACATGACATTCAGTTGACAAAAGCACATACATTCTTACTCGATCATATGCCCGTGCAATATTTTACTGGTAAAATCTGCATCAGGAGTGAGTTTTGTATTATCAGTGGTCCAGTCTCTGCTACTTTAGAGGGTTTATATAGTAACAAGCACATTTGTGATTGGTTGGACATGAGCAAGTGGGAGGTGCACTGTGTTAACATGTGTGTCTACTGTATGTCCTGTGTTGCTCAGAGAATTGGGATAGCTGGGAGAAATGGGAGAAATTGAGATAGTGGAGATAGCAGGACCTTTTGGAGAAAGAAGGTATTTGAGGACATTGTAGAGTGGATTGGAATTCATGAGTTAATGATTAGTGGAGGTGGAGAATGGATCAAGGTGAAAACGAATTAGGATTGTTTAGCTTTGACACGTTACCATATCTTAAACACATACGCAGTTTGTGTTCACTGTGCTTTCAAAACTCAAGATGCTGGATTCTAATAAAGCACAAACTCACAATAATTGATTCAGAGGACACAGAATATTTATATATTTATACCTTTTTTTAAAATCCTACATTGCCAGGTGAAGTTTGCTGTTAGCTATTTATATGAAACAATATACAGTACTATGATATGGCATACATGACACTTACCTTTTTTGCAAAGTCTGTGCATATATTACTCTGAAAGTTAACATAGTGGGTAGCATTATGGCTTAATGTTGACTGCTGCATATCCAGTAGAACAGGTAGATGACAAGCTATAAATTGCAGCAATCATTAATATGCAATTGATTCTGCAGTAAGATATGCATATTATGTACTATAGCTAAAGTAACAATCTAATAAAGAAACAGATTGTTGCAATTGTACATTTTTGTAACATCAGGGCTTGGTAAATATGTGTTTAATATCTAAAGAGAGAGAGGTCCATTCTCTAAAATGTTTCAATTCAATATGTAATCAACACGATTGGAATACTCTCAGAGGAGTGCACCAAATGTCTTTTTTGGAAATGTAAATCCACCAAGTCTGTTTTCAGTTCTTCTTTACTTTGCATTGCTTTGTCTTAGATAAATGTGTACAACTTTATGAAGACAAATTTGCTCACGATGAATTGGAATGTAACTGTCCTTTACAATGCGAGTAAGTAATTACCATTTTTGTTTTCATATGCCTTTTAAAGTGTGCAGATACAAATAGATTTAAACCACAAATGTCCAGAGCAGGTATCTATAAAATTTAGTATTCTCCCATCTGCTGTTATTTTTAATGGATGGCAGTGTTTGGAGCACTTACAGAATTGAGTTCTATTACTCAATTTGAGTTTACTGAAACAATCAGACAAGTAGAAAGGCGTTAATTGCCAAGTGCACTTGATATTTCATATTTCCTTTAGAAAAATAGAAATTTTGTTTTACATTGAAATTGAAACTTAAAAAAATTCCCATTTAAGGTCCTATTGCTTAAATGTAGCACAATTTATTTTTTAATGTCAGGAATAATATTTTAGTTTTTGTGCACCCATGCCCAAATTTTTTTTCATGTGGACGTTTCTTTAATTCATCAGGACCCATTAACATATGCTAACACTTTCTGCAGCACAGCTCTATTTTTATTTGCAAAACGAATTCAGATTATGTAAAAGCAAATGTCTGAACCTCTAGCTGAAGCCAGTCCTGACTCCCGTCAAATGCATAGTTCAGAACCCTGTGCAGATGGCATAATCCGGAAGTGACTGGAGAAGGGTTTCGGGGGAAATCACGGTTAGGAATGGAAGGGATGGAGAACAGGGGGCGGCGCTGACAGTGATCCAGGTGCATGGGGGGAGCGCAGGCAGACAAGTCGAAACGAGGGAAGTCCAAATGGGAAACTAGGGTGCAGTCCAGGGTCCATGTGCCAGGAGATCCATCCAAGACAAACGATTAAAACCAGGAACGGGATCAGGGACAGGAACAGGAACAAGGAAGTTAAAAACAGAGTGATGAAGCCAGGCACTCTAAGCCCAGGACTCAGCTTGGTCAGAACGTCGTTTGGAGGCCTATGCCTTCAAGCCACGGACGTAGGGCGACTTGATGCTAGGCAGGTCGGCAGGCCCGCGGGCATCCAATGCAGAGCCCCAAGCTTCAAGAGCACCGGATTTAAGTGATAACGGTGAATCCAGGGACAGGTGAACGTGATAATGAAACTGAAACACAAAACGGTCGGAACGCCCTCTAGAGGAGGGATGACGATCATGCCATGAACGTATTGATATTTGTAGATTTTGTATTCACTGACACTTGTAACCACACACATAGGCTTAAGATAAGAAAGATTACAATTTTTACAAAACCATTGTTTTTCAAAAGCCAAAAAAGAACAATTCAAAGATTAAAGTATTCAGTTTCACTGTTCCACTGCAAGGAAGTTATTATTATATTTTTCTACAGGAAGTGTGAAAGTGATTGTGGCATTTATTTTACCATCAGTAAGAAAGAATAAAAAAAGCTCTTGTTCTTGTTCTCCTGCAAACAGGGAGGAGATATTTGAGCTGACACTATCTTCATCTCAGTGGCCTAGTGCTGTTTATATGGTAAGTGATCACAAACCACAGGAGAAATGTTACATATGCAGAAGGTACAGTATCTTCTATTATGGTAGCCCAGAATGGACACTACCAGCTTTCTATTACTCATCAAATCAAGCAGCTAAACTGTACTCTGTGAAGGACCGGCTTCCTATGTGGTGTCCAGCCTGATTATGGGATAGGCTGTAGTGTCATCAGCTTTCTGTTAACAGATGATGAGTGCTTGGATGTCTACCGTTCCTATTGTAGAATGAGTTTGCAAGAAAACTGAGACAATCTGGAGGAAAGCTGGCCAAAGTAGCTGACAAAGTACGGTAAGTTGAATTGACTGTGATGATGAGGCTGACTGAACCCCTCCCCACTTTTGTGAGGAAAGAGCTAGGAAGCTGCTGCAAGGGTGTAGATGTGGTGGCTGGAGGAATGCGATAGAAATGCACAAAGGGAATTCCAGAAGGCAAAGATCTCCATAATGTAGGAGAGCAGAAGAAGGCTAGATTATGATCTAATGTTTTTCTTAACCCTCTGTTATGAACTCCATATTTCATTGAAATTACAGTATGTAGGTGATAATTTGTACTGTGCACCCCATAATTGTTAACATATGGAACATGTAAAAATAACTAGCTTTTATTCCATATTTGTACTTACAGTAACTATCAATTTATCATAAACTGAACCATCCAGGTTCTTTTTTAATCCTTAAAAGACTGATTAACTGACAAGAACTGGAGGGAAAGTGACATTTTTAAAGGAATACATGACTTTAATTTATGGTGTTTCCATTATCACAAAACAGAGGGGACTTTTGAAGCTTTTTTTTTTCCAAAAGACCTTTTTATTGTTTTTTTCCACAGCGATAATCTTGTTAAAGTCATCATTAATTATCAGCAGCTTAATTACGAGCTTATTGAAGAAATTCCATCTTTCCAGGTAAGCATCTTAAAGTTTATTGCCCTTCCAAAAAAGGTTGTGTTGCTATTTGTTCCATTTTATCTATCGTTTCATCAGGCTGGTGGTTTTCTCATTGGTTTGGCTTTTGAACATCAGCCTCGTCTGGCCGTATAAGGTCATGCGTGATACAAAACAGGAATCTGAAGCAGGACGGCTTTGTTGCATTCCACACTGAGAAAAGACTCTGCCTTTGCTCAAACTGTCACAAAAACTGGAGTACATTCAGTCCAGCACTTGACTGCCAACAGACGTACCATGACCTATTTCTAATATATATAGGGGGAAAAACAACCTTGAACCCTGACTGGGAAAAAGTATTTCTTAGCTATTCTGCTGACTTTTTTCATCACATAAGTCATTTTCTACTTTTTGTTTTCCTTTTGTAAAACCCATGTGGACAAAATACTTTGAAATCACCATTGTTGAGCAAATAGACTTTATATTTAAGTTTGGACAGCCAGTCTTTTCAGGCAAGAGATGTATTTCCATTTAGGGTCAAAATAATGACATCAAGCCCTGAAGCTCTCAAATGTAAGTGACATTGAAGTGAAGAGGGGGAAAAAGCTTCTCATGACTAAATCTTCTACAGGATATGAAAAAGCCATACAATTATGTAATGGCATAGTTACTTAATTTGACCAAACATCACAAGACAAACATACGAGGAACAGAAATATATTACAATCTATAGGGGAACTGGAATATCATTCTATTCTTGAGATGAGAATATTACCTTCTCTGATCTTGTATTAAAATATTTACACAATGTTTCAAAGATGTTAAAGCCAGATGGCTTGATCTTTTATTCAAGAGAATCTGTCAATGTTATTCTCCTCAAATATTATCTTACAGGAGGAAACAAAAAATCTTCCATTGCAAGTTGTCATAATTCTATAAATGCACAATAAATTACAGTATACAGTACATTGTCATTATAAACCATAAGTGCTTTACATACGAGTGTTTGAAAATAAGACATGGGGAAAACACATTTACTCGGTCACTCAAATATACTTTTTAAATTTATTTTAGATATCATAGAAAGCTTCATATGCTAGTTTTCTCTATTCATGTATAGTCTATGTGCTCTAATATACATTTTAAAATGCATACTAGTGACTTATATTCCACTGGAGAAACATCTAAGGAAAAGTGCAGTAAAATTAATATTTATTAACCTTATTACTATATGAATTTCATTAGCCATTTTTACTGACACCTCTGTTTTGTTTATTCCTTTGCAGGTGATTGACCTTGTGTCCAGTATTGGAGGCCTGGTGGGGCTATGGATTGGAGTTTCCATCTGCACTGTGGCTGAGTTTGTAGAACTCTTTTTGAAAGTCATTATTTTCATAATTAAAAGAGTCATTCGGAAAAATAAGGAAGCGCCCTTAAATCCCTATATGATTGCTCACCAGACCTTTAAGTCAAGTGTTTAGGGGAAAATGTACAGGGTATTTGTGGCTTTCAGGGATTCATCTACAGATTTATTTTTCTCACTTTTGCGTTTCATTCCATTACATTGGCTGTGCTCATTGTACACCGTTTCCTAAGAGAAACATTAAAATTTAACAAATTGAATTGTCATTCAAAATGATCAATATTCTGAGGAAAGACAAGCCTTAATTTTTGCCAATAACAGCACTATAATTGAGTATATTGTAAATACAGGCCTTTAGCCCATTATTTTCAAGTTGGTTTCAGACCTTCACTCTTACACAATTTCAATGCCAGTCCTTTCTCAAGTCGTTGGACTATAGTAGGGGAGCACCAACTTCCTTGTTCATATGACCATGTGGTCATCCTGTACTTACAAAAAAAGCCAAAGATCAATATACAATACGTTATTTTTGTAATCACTTTATAGGGAATTGTCTGTCTCTTATGAACAGGGATATTTCCACCAGCTTATTGCATATTGAGATTTGACCACATGATGGGAGTATTGTGCAATGCAGTTAGCAAACCAATGTCATCACAATTACTGTACCGTTAGCAAGATAAGTGGCTCATTCAGTACATTTAAAATAAATCAGTTTAAATTTAGAAAACTATCTGTTAAACCTTGGAAAAATATTTGGATTTAGCAATTACTGAAAATCACAAATATACTACACATTGTAAAATATTTTTTCAAATTATTTTGTACATAAGAATATATAGTTGTTTATAAATAACACTAAAATTGGGTGAGATGTCAGTATAAAATATTGTCAATATGTGTTATACAATTAGTCTCCTGTATCTAATTTATTGTAAAAACCAAAACAGTTTAACATTAAAAAATTGCTCTTGTAAGCTGATTTCTCTGCCTACTTTTTCTTGCTTCTTCAAAGGCATGTAAAACTGTAGGTGTTTATTCTTAATAATTATAGTATTATTGCTGTCTGCAGTCATGCCAATTAAAGATAAATATTCCATTACTATATGGAACACAGATAATTATATTGTTATGAAGTGTCTTTAAGAACCTAGCTGCAATAGAGACAGTTGGCTAGTGTCGACTTTTCCAACTTCCAAGCAAGGAGATGTTTGCTGCGATGCGGTGGTCACGGATTCAGTGATCAAAGCAATCGTAAAGTTTACCTTGGTTTACCTTATAACTAAGTTTTGAGTGAACCATTTCAATCAGCAGTCCAGGAATAGAGCATAAAACAGGGAGCCAAAAAAGGAGACAAGTGGGGAGAGAAAGGGAGAAAGAAACAGAGACAACCTGAGAGAAGGAGGAAGACAAGAGCATCTTGTTCCAAATCCCCCAGAAATACAAGATTGGAGCCAAGTATTTTAACCTTGTTGAGAGAGCTTGCTTTTCTATGGTTCTTAGGGAAGTCTGATTTCCTGAGTAAGGCATCCATTGGTTAAAAACAGCCTCTCCTGGTTAGTAGGTACACTTTAGAATTAGGGAGATACCTATTTGGACACACAGTTTTCACTGTATTCAGCATAACCCCACTACTTGTATATATTGCATACACCATGGACACATAGCAGCTCTACTCATATTGAGTTTTATTCAATTTCTATTACATCTATTATTATGTAGGTCCCCATTCATTTTGCATCATCCGGGTTTGCAGAGAGAGATTTAACCTCAGGTTAGACCTGAGGTTGATTTAGAAGGCGTCTTTCTCTTATTTAAGCCTCTGTAAGCATTATATATGAGTCAAATAATTGGTAACAGTCTGCATTTTTTTCTGGGTGGTCAGGGCGTTAGGTCTCTGAAACTCCTTAATAGAAGTAGGGGAGCTCATTAGGTACTTTTGTACCTAATGTAACTTGTGTGTTGCATGTTTATGTTGTGTGTTGTTAGTGTGTGTATTGTCACTATTAATAAATATTTGTTTAACCCAGTGTGCCTGAATTATTGTCTTTTCATCAAAACTGTGCTAGAGAACAAAGAAATATACCAACTGCTCGGGTATATTAATTTACAAGTTGGGAGTTATTATTATTTATTTACATTTTGATTAATCCGCTCGGCCACTTCCTGATATTCTCTATTTTCTTTACCCCCTATTTGTAACAATATCAAAATGTGCTCCAGATATTTGTTTTATAAACATTGACTTATGGTTAGGCTTAGGAGGTCTTGATCTTATATGGTATGATGAATTCAAAACATATCTTAGACAAAAAATTGACTTTCCCATGCTACACACATTTACAAGGGATGCTTGAATAGTTATTAATCCCACATTCCGTACCTAAGAATAATGGTAATGACAACACATCAGTGAAAGACTACTTTTCTTGGTATGAAAATATTTTCTTTTTCTGTTATATCCTTGTCATATTCTGTGGTGGTGATGCAATTAATTGTCATAATCCATTTTGGAATTTCAGAAACCTGAGAACGCATTTATTCTCCTGAATGTTTTCTGTTCTTACATTTGACCGCAGACTGGAAATGATATTTTGTGAGCACTGTGGGTGCTGCACCTAAAATGGTCCCAAACATTTATGCTCTAGGTATGTGAATGTTCCGGTTTCCTCCCACAGTCCATAGAAATATCGATAGGTTAACTGGCTTCTAGGGAAAATTGGCCCTGTGATGGATTTGTGTCCCATCCAGGGTGTAGCCTGCCTTTTCTCATTGTTTGCCAAGGTTAGGCTCCAGCTCCCCCTGTGACCCAATACTGGATAAAGCAGTTAGAAAATGTGTGGATGAATGGATGGGTATGTGAAGTGGGAGAACAGTAATTTGCAATGTAAACAAAATAAGTTTAATTTGATTGGATTCATCAACTAAGAACATTCAGCAAATATAGTTAGTGATCAGTGTATTAAAGAAGTGTTTCTTGGGTATTTTATGGATGCAGGATTTAAGTAACTCAATAAATTATGGTACAAGATAGGTACTCTAGTACACTCTTAAAGTTCCGAAGGGGCTTATTTTTAAATAATAGCTGCTTAAAACGTATTTACCTCAGTTAATAACATATAGCTTACAAAAGAGAGGAGTCAATTTGGTCCCATTAGCCTGTCTGTTTGCTAGTCTAGCTGCTGCTCGTTGCTAGTAGTTACTTAAGATGAGGATTTAATTTAGTGAAAGAAGTAAGGGTACCAGCTTCATATGCTCAGATATCTCCTTCCAGATTATTCTTTATGATGCCCTTGAAATGTTCTACCTTCTTTTAAGTTTTTAATTTGAAAAAATCTACAAATCTCCTGCATTATATTCAGACCGTAATAGGTGTTAGAACGACGCTAACAGTTTAAACAAATCTACCACCATCAACACACTGAAACAAAACAAATATTTTTTTTGATTATGAAAGTTAGTCACGTTACTTTTGCAAATATTTTTTCCATGGACCTTCATAGGAAAGACAGACAAATTTTTATTTCAAGGGGATAGTTTAGATCATGCTTTTTCTGTTATTACACTTCTCATGAACTGTAAAAAATTGCTCTAAATCTCTTCCTGAAGGATGAATTTGAAAAATCACACAGCAGAAATATGACTGTGTCGCACAAGCTGTAGAATGTTTCACAAATGGCCTGCAGCATATGGATTCATTTGTTCCATTGTCACTTTTGCTCACAGTTCTCTGATAACTTATTTTTCTGGAACACATGGATAATGAGGTAATCATTTAAGATTATACAAAAAAACAGAAGCAAGAAATATCTATAAATCAGACTCTACACGATTATTGATCACAATTTTTTTCACTTTGAAGGTTATGTTGGAACTCCACTAGTTCTATTGACTTGGGGCTATTTAATGAATAATGTATCATAACAAAGCTACAAAGCATTCAGAAGAGTGAGATATAATCATTAAATGAAAACAAATGCTTGTCAGCCAGACAAATTACATTATTTGTAATCACACCTGAAGACTGCTCCATGGCTGAAACGTTGTGTTCTCTTTCTTCTTTTTTTCAGCATGGAATAAACCTACTGTAATACTTGTTCCTTTGCAGCCTACGCAGCTACCCACCTAAATTACATTATTGTATGGTTTACATTTAAAACCTTTTTTTTGGTCCTATTAAATTTCTTTAAGTAAATGTTTTGGCAGTGGAATAAGAATTAGTCATAATACCTGAAAATGAGTCCACTTATATCATGTTGCATAATGCATAATTTTTATTCCTGTTCTGTGACTACATTTTAGTGCCATTAGTGAACATCTCAAAGCAAATGACTATTAAAAGGGTTTCTATAAAGAGATTAAATGATTAAATCTTTTCACTAACAACCAATGCACCACAAGTGCCCCTGTCTGTCTTTTTGGCCAGACAATCACGTACCGCGGTACAACGCGGTGACCTGTGGTTAATTGCATGCGGTATGTGGTTGTACCGTGCATTTTGAATGGCTGCATCTGGTAACCTATTCCTTGTTTTTAATAAACTACTTGCTCAGTAAACTTATTGATAGTATGATTAGCAAAAAATAGACAAGCAAAAAATATGTAATTTAATTATAACACTTATTTTTTGTCAGGATTTAATCTTTCAACCTAGATTTCTGCATTATTTGATTGATTTACATCATTAAAGAGCCTGTATGTAAAACCATAATCTTTGATTGGTTCATCAGTTTATTAGTTCTAAAACACAATTTTATGCTAAATAAATCTAATTTCTTTTAATTTGCCTATCAATTTTTCCTGTCTTGCAAATGCTTATTTAGCAAAAAAGTAAAGTTACAAATATTGAGCAGGTTAAGAAAATTGGAGAACACCAAATACAGTATACTGAGTGGGATAATTTACAATTAAATACATTAATTCTAACTCCCAAACTGTAGAAATGCTAAGAATATACCCAAGCAGTAGAGATAATATTTTAGACACCTGAGTTCTTTATTCTCTGGCACAGCCCAAGTGAAGGAGTAATAAATCAGGCAAACTGGGATAAACAAATATATAAAAACATTCTACTTGTTGGATGAGGACATATTTGGGTTAATGTAAATGTGTAGGTTTCTTCCTGGTATTTATGGTATGTGTTTGACAATTCTGAAACATTATACTTCAACTCCAACTAGTATAAGAATATAAGTGAAAAATATGTGTTGCCAATTAACAGATACTGCTCACCTGCAGTAATTTCTTTGGCAACTAGTACAGTAGCTAATCTGCTGTCTTTTTCTACATGATCCTCCTTAAAGAAAGCTAGGTATCAGGAAGGCATGTAAAGACTTCCATAGAATAGTGCATGAGACCAGTATATAATTTCTCATTGTTATAATTGAGTTAAAAATCTTTCCAAGGTAACGCTGGAAAGTGACTTCACTATAAATGACAACGCCCAAGATCAAAGCGTAATGAATTATTATGGAGCAGATATTTGGCTTAATTGCTAATTCTGATTGCTAATTACTGACGGCTGGGAACAATTGAGCGTGGTTGTCATCCCTCCTGAACTTTCGTTATATAAACTCCATATATTATCCAAGGAAAGAAACTTTATATATGGATATCTAAGAAAACATCTCATAATGTTGTGATGCTTATGTTGCGATGCAGGTCTCAGCAAATGAATGTTGTGCTGTACCCATGTGACTCTACTCCATGTTTGGAATGTTTCCTATGTTAAACAGTATTTAAGGAAAGAAATGTTGATATAAACCAGCTGCAGAGCCTCCAGAGGTGTTCTGTGACAGTTTCAAAAGCAGATTATTCAGCCACTTCTCTTAATAATTTTATCAGCTCCAGCTTTATATGCAAAGCAGCAGTGATAAACCGACAAACAGAACAGGTTCAAATAGGTGTTAAGAGTGCTTATGATTGGGATTTTATAA